CCATGATCCTGAGACTCAAGCTCATATCACGGTATCATAAGCATATATATAAATTCTTCCTAATACAGAAAAATAAAACAAACATCCAATATGTCGTTCAACTGTTTTAGTTAACAAGACATGCATCCTTGAAGAATTTAACTGTTTTAGTTAATCCAATCCGTATGTATGAATAGGTAGGCATTAGCGTTTTGATCTAATCCATCCCTAAAATGCCACCGTCCCATATCGGTATATATAATGCATATGATCCATAAATAATGCACACTCATTAGAACATCAAATACATCCAGAGACTAACATAATAGAAATCAGATATAGACAAGATCCTATTATGCATCCAGTATATGATTATAATCATAGAACCTCCGTTTAAATTGCTAGAGTAATGATAAACAATTTAAACTATCCATTTCCATATAATTGACAGAACAGAAATTATAACAGTTCAGCAATTAACATCTATAGCATGATATAATGGTTATCAGAATTATAAAATGAGCACATTATACTAGAATTCCCAACCAATACTTCCATACTAGTTCATTTACATTACTAAAACAACGACTAACAATTAAATCCTCCTCAATCCTTGACGGCATGCAAATTAATATCTAAATTTCATGACGTCCATTTAATTCTCAATTATAAATCCGGAGTATGATATAATGATACTCAGAAGTATAAACTGAGCACATACACCCAAATTCTTAAAACACACTCCTATTAGTCCGTTTACTTTGCTAAAACAACCACTAGCAATAAAACTTCCATATTCCGTGACAACATGCAAAATATTATTTAAATTTCATGGAGTCCATTAACACAGTATAAACCAACATTCCTCAGCCTTAAGTATATTATATATATCATTAATATAAAACCCCAAAAATAACTTTCATTCCAGTCCATTTAATTTGCTAAAACAACTAGCAATTAAATCTTCTTCCTCCCTCGATAGCATGCATATTAATATCTATAATTCATGATGTCCCTTACCGCAGCCTAAACCAACATTTTTGGGTTTTTAACAGGTTCAGAATATCTTTTAAAAACCCCCAGATTAAATTCCAAAACTTCGTTTTAGCCTCTGCAGTCAAAAAACATTAAAAATATACCCTCGTAGGGGGATCCAGCAAGGGAGCCGGCTCCCCTTTCTTGGGAGTCGGCTCCCATACTTCCAGAGCCAGCTCCCTCCATTAGGGAGCCGGCTCTCTCCCTTAGAGCCCTGTTTCTCCGCCTCTGTTATTCTTCTTTGCTTCCGGCGAAGTTCATCGTCTCTGTCCTAATTTTTTAAAAGTTTTTAAGAGTTAATTTAAGTTCCAACAGTCCTAGAAACTCCTCAAATTCCAGTATGAATTAATTGACAAAACGTAAATCATGATCGAAACAATTTATGAACAAAACATGTTGGTGCGACCGAGCGTGTGTACAAAATAATGCACAACACTTTAGGTTTAGAAATAATGTCAAGTGGGCACCATATTTTAAAATTTATAAAACCACTAAACACTTATACTATGGAGTATGAAGTGAGCAGGGATCGTCCCAAGAGATCTAAACAATTATAGGTTTTCCAGAATTGAATTCTACTTTAGTGCTTATGTGATTGCCAAAAGGGTTTTGTTTGTGATTAAAACTAATTTTAAACTAAATGATTGCAATAAAGAAATAGAGTTTAAGAAATTGGAAAGAGACTTAGGGTGTAGGATTCACCACTAAGCACATTCCCTAACTCACTCACTTTCAACTAATTGGGGAAATAATACTATGTAATCTATATGTGGCTAACAAGTGCAATGAAAAGTGTAAACCATCAATTTCAAGCATAAATCAACTACTTAATGACAATTAAACTAAGTGTAGTGCAATTCACCCATTCAAAGCATGATTTATCAATCCAAGTTTCAAATTTAACACACATTAATCTAGAAGATAATGCAATTGTGACAAAAAGTATGGAATTCAAACATAAGTATGGATGGTCTACTTACCTAATAATTGAATTGCAATTAAATTAATTAAACTTAAATTAAACTAATTAAACATGAATTTAAAACTAATTAGACAACAAATTAACCTAAACATGTAGTACCATCCATCAAATGGAAGCATTTTTCATCAATTTGAAACACAATTACAACTAAGCAATACCATGCATAGCCATCACAAGAATCAATTAACAAAGAATTCATGTGTAAAATTTGTTTATCAATCAACCACACATCAGACAATATGAGATTAATACAGATAATCAATTGGAAGAATTTAATTCATAATATTCAAGACTATACACTAATTACATAAATTAATCCCCAAAAAGTATGAAAAGAGAGAGAGAATAGGTTACATGCTTAGGGTTTATCCAACCCTAAGTAGAAGAATCAGCCACTCATGGTCGATAGAGTCGAAGACAGGACAATCCCCATCATCTGCTTCATTTTCTTTGAACTTTCTTCCAAACCCTAGCCTGTTCTTGCTTTTTCCCTTTCTTCGCGTGTTTTTCCAGAGAGAAAATACAATACTACGATATAGAAAAATCAAAAAATTAAAACTTTTTTTTTTCTTTCTCTAATAATCTTTACCTAAATAAAAACTAAAACTAACCTTAATCTAATGGCTCACTGGGCCTTAAGTAACAATCTCATTAAAGCCCAACAGTTCCCAAAATGAGCCCAAAAATTAAATAAAAACTGTAATGTTGCTAAGTCCTGGGGGATCGATCCCCCACCCTGGGGATCGATCCCCCCAGAGTTAAAAATTTCCTTTAAGCCCTATTTAGCTCTATTTTAGCCCCGAACTCATTAGTTTGCTTCTTCATCTTTGGGAACATCATCAAAAGCCTGAGATTGACCGCTTTTGAAGAATAAACACACTATACGAGCAATGGGCTGCGACCTCATTTTTGCCATTTTCTGAGCTTTTTCTGAATATCTTTGCTTGACTCTAAAAAGGCTTTAATGGACCGTTCTTAGCTCAGTTTAACTTTATTGCCCTGAAATACACATAAACATAAATTAGGACTAAAACATGAAATTAAGATAGCTACAACGACTGAAATACCCTAACTTAGGTGCTAAAATGTGCAACATTTAAGCACTTATCACATGTTACAGTTTAAACAAAGACATACAATGGATTACAGTTTAATTTAACATACGTAAAACATCCGTTTTAAAGTTTAATTAATTTCTTGGAGACTATATAGCATGCACAGAACATAGGTTTAAGGGAAGAAGTTAGAATAAAACTTGCCTTTGATTTCAGTTTTGAAACCTTAAACCACAGTCTCTGAATTCCGGTGAATCCCAAGACTGTTCTCCACCTCTATTCACTGTTCTCCTCATCTGTTGCCACTTGGTTCCACCCACGAGTAACTCCCTTTCTTTATTCCTTGAGCCTCTCTGCTTCCTCTCAAGTTTCTCTCTTTTTTCCTCCCAAATCCCTCTCCGCCTCACAGAACGTGAATAGGGTTCTAAAACCCTTGGCAGACAAATAACTCATGTATATATAGGCTTCTATAAAACCTAACCCTAATTCCAACCTAACTATAAGTCAGCTAGTTCATCCGTAAAAACCAAAATTAAAGACCTTTAATTTAAACACCGAAAAACAATTATTAACCTATTATTCCATTTAAACAAATAAAGAAAAATAACGCACATCATTTATACACTGCCATACAAGCATAACATTAATGAAAACAAAGAATTAAAACAAATAATCTCAATTAAATAAAACAAGTAATTAAAAAAAATAACTTAATTAAATAAAATAATTAATAAAGAATATAATTAAATAAAAACAATTAACAAATAGGCAACTAAACACATAATCAAAGAAAAATGATATTAAATCCAATTATATCATTTAAATTTCAATTATATCCTTTTGAGAATTAGGGGTATTACAGTGGTTGATAGGTTGTGGGGGAAGCTAGGCAATGGTGGTGGTGGTGGTGGTGGTGGTGGTTTTTGGATTTGGAACATATGGATTTTTTAAAATTTTGATTTTTTTTTTTTTAAAATTTACTTGGGAATCAAATAACCAATAATAGATTTTCATTCACAAAAATGGATTTTCATTCCAATAGAATGACATTCTCACTTCAAATTGTATACCAAACAAAAAAATGGTTGGAATTGACATTTCATTCATGTACACCAAACGCAACACTAGTGTTTTCCTTTTCGACAGATCCATTGACCAAATTTTGTAAAATGATAATTTTTTCATTTCTTTGTATAAAATGTAATATAATATATTATTAATTATAATATATGTGTATTACTAACTTTTCACCAACTGAGAAATGAATTTAGGGTAAGTCAAAGTAATTAAATGTTGAACGATCTATGTATAATTTGTCCAAACCTTAGGGATGGCCAATATAATCACCCTGCAACAATATCATATTAGGAAAGAAAAATAAGAGGGGGAAGGGGCAAATTTGAGCTATTAAATGGACATGACTATACAATATAATATGAACTGTTCATATAATGCAAATCATCAAACATTTGAACTGAATTGCCCCCAGGGACATAGCGGCATTGGCAGGGATTCATGTGGTGACCTTGTGGGTGGGTGCGAGGCACTGGCAGACTATCATACTGGGCGAGTTACGGGTGTACAATCCCATATCGCCTAGGTAAGGGTGGTGTTATTTCTAATTGGTATGAGGCATTTTGAGGTAAAATCCAAGATCGTGCGGGCTTAGGCTTAAAACGGACAATATCATACCATGTGGTGGAGTGGGTCGTTACAATTCGGGAGGTAAGTCATTGAGTAGGGGTGCACACAGTACAGTTCTGTCAGGAACCGAAACCGGAACCAGTCACAACGATTCTTTAAAAATGGAACCGGAACCGGAATCGTGTGTATATAGAACCGAATCGTTCGGTTCAGTTCCACGATTCCTAGATCTATCAATTATATTTATAGGGGTTTTAGGCCTGAGAAGATGAGATAGTGTGTGGATGTAGATCGGAGAAGCCGTGTCACTGACTGAGATAGTGTATGGGTGTAGATCGGAGAAACCGTCTCAGGCCTAAGAAGATAAGAGCAAGTTCTGATCGGAGAAGCCGTGTTGCTGACTGAGATGGTGTGTGGACGATACAGAAGATGAGAGGACTGATGAGGCAGAGGCGATACAGAACTGAAGATGAGAGGGCTGAGGACTGAGGATTGAGGACTGAGGAGGGGAGGCGAGGGCGAAGCGACAGATCAGAACTTGAGAGAATGAGAGGTTAGGTTTAGGTTAACTTTTGTTTTTGTGGTTTCAACTTTAGTACTTTACATCAAGTGGCTCAAAAGTCAAAACAAAAGGACCAAGAGGTGGACCACGTGTTACTGCCTACTGGTGTATAACTGACAATAATAGTATGTAAGTAATATATATATATATATATATATATATATATATATATATATATATATAGACACACACACACACGGTTCGGTTCAATTCCTAACGGTTTCCGCTGGTTTAGAACCGAAACCGAACCGTAAGCCCACGGTTCTAGATTTCCAGAACCGGAACCGAAGGCTCGGTTCTGTTTGGATCCACGGTTTTTTTTGTGCACCCCTATTATTGAGATCTTACTTTCTAACTGCATTTTTGATTTGAATAGTACGTGTGTTGTGGATCTGATACACGTACTATGCGGAAAAACAAAAAAAAAAAAAAAAAATATTTGAATTGGAGGTTAAGCTAATTAATATATGGGACCAGACTTGTCAATGAATGATATAATTAACCATATCCAAGATAATATAGATATATTTAGAGCACTGTGGATGTTGGTTGTGTGTGTTATATTTTGCCAGGAGTAGGAGACAATGGGAGACTAAATGCATTAAAATTGCCCATTTAAGTGGGGCCTTTTTAGGTTTCTTATAGAAACTTAATATCCAAATCAACGAAATGCAAAGCCATGTAGCATCTTTCACGTGTGGGTTCAGGGTTCACCTTTAGTTTCCAAGGTCCCATTCCAGTTGTGTTTAACACCCATATATGTGTGCGGTGTGTGTATATCTTAATAATACATACAATCTTTATAGATTTCTTGTACATGTGTTGATTTTTATTTTTTATATTCTTTTATTAATAAATCCTCCACCATGGGTACACATCATATATAAGTGATATTTTATCACTCATCATCATATCCTAATTAGACTTGCGGGTATCTATAAGGTTCCCAGACTCAATCATGCATCACATCACAAGCTGTTCCAAAGAACATATATATGTGATCAATATATATTTATTACATATGCAATATACCTTCACATGTATGCAAATTATAATGTGGACAAAATTTTTGTTCGATCTGCCGAAAAACGTGATCTTAAAGTTGACAAACTATTGGAACCTACAACAGCTTACAAAATCAGAACAATGAAAACTAAATAAAAGTAAATGATTGGATCTATTAATTTCTTCATAAGATCTCCTTCACTAGTACGACCTTGATATTGAAATATAAAATCTTTTCCACGAAAAAACTCCATAGATATATATATTTATATATTCCGTATGTTTCAAAAATAAAATGTTTATCTTTTAATTTTTGATCGTCCCGAATAAAAAGTCAAAGTACTATTTGTTTATAACATTATTAATTTAACCATATTGTATTGAACTTCTAAAAAATAAACCATCACATCCCTACGAACCAATAGATCATTTGGTAATTTACTCACTATCAATATAATAAAAAATTATTAAAATTTATCTTCTTAAAAAGTTAAATTCCTAAAGAATGTCAGGCTTGAACACTTAGCCTCCTTTTAAGAAGGCCACACATTAATATATGACAATTTAAGAATTATTAGTAGGTGTAATCCCCCTTCAACCGTCTAAGATATATTTCACCAAAAATCTCAGTTGCTAAAAAGAAAAAATAAATAAAATTGTCTCATCATTTTCCATTAGGTTCTATAGCTTTGTCAGTAAAGACCATACGAACCTATCTCATATATAATCTTCATTTATCAAACAGAAGAATATGCATTATGCTCCATCAAATTTAATAAAATCTGAAATATGATCCTAGAGTTAAATGCCCAGAGAAAGATAACTATATATAATAGCATTTCATCTTTTTTGAGTAATAAAATAATTATCTAATTCTTAAAATTATATATATATATATATATATATATATATATATATATATATATATATTGTGGAGAATTGGCATTGATCGTCTTATATAGCATCAGTATTAATATTAATATATGAAAAAAAAAGTTGGTTATTATGCAGAAGAAATTAACAGAAACAGAGGGTTGAAAGTACTAAATGATGAATAATTTCAAGAAAATGATTGATTTTTCCATTCTTCAATTTTGAGAAGTCGTTAATTATGGTGTAATTTCCAGACATAGTTTCTATGAAACGTTTTGCATTGATATCAATAGAGTTTGGAAAAAGTTGGGAAATCGAAGAAGTAATAAATTGTCAGTGTCTACATATAATAATAGGAGTAATTAACATGATCAAATAAGGAAAAAAGGTTGTAAAATCGTAAATAACATCCATGCATATATGTGTGTGTATATATATATATGTTTTTTTTAAAAAAAAACTTAGACTCGCCATGTTTTAGGAGTGCTAGAAAGAAGCACACCTGTCAAACCAAATAATTAAAAAGAATATATATAGAAGTAGTAGTACTTTAGGGAAGGTTAATGCATCTAAAGATCGCAAAGCAGACTCATAGATCATGTGATTATCATGGGATCAATCTTTTTCAAGAATCTTGGATGATTCTTTTCTTAGTTAACTCATAAAGTTGAGACATAAATATAAAGTTATAAACAACAGTGTAGTCCTAGTCCTACACACCACAGAGCCACACCAACACAACCTAACTAGAGTGTTTGGTACAAGTTCCCGTGTACTGTACACAACTAATTAATACAAGCAGAATCTTGTATTATATGGACTGAGATGATTTGGTGCCTAGTTGGATGGATTTGGAAATGTTGGTGCGTTTTTTTTTTTTTTTTTTGGCTGTTCACACAAATCACCCATCATTACACACATATAATATATACACACACGTATAGCCATACATGTGTATATATATTTGTTAATGTATATGCAGCGTTTTCCAAGGGATTGCTTTGCAAATCGTGTGCAGTAATGCATCCTGAAGTTTTTCATGTGCCCGCAATCTACAGTAGATATTCTCTCTCTCCGCTTTACTTTTGTCTTTATTTTTTTCTTATTATATTGGCAAAAGTGAAAGGAAAAAAAAAACAGGGAGCACATATTTTATGTGATGTAAAAATGAGCGAGTCAGTTTATATAGATTCAAAAATGAACAATTTGTCCATTTACATTTTATATAGGATCATTTTCTTTTCATAGTGTGATGCACATGATTGATTTTTTTTTTTTTTTAATTCCAAAAATATCCTCCAATATGACCGTTATACCCCATATTCTTATAAAAAGGTTTTTGCATTCTTTTGTTCCAATCAAACCTATTTTTTTCTTTCCTTTCCATTTGCATCTACTCTCCATGCTGTCTCTCTCAAAAGTAAGTTCATTTAAACATTTAAATATATATATATATATATATATATATACACACACACATACACACACACACAATGGCATTCAATTGCTCCCTGGTGAGCATAAAGTAATATACTCACTTTTAATCCTAATCTTATAATCTAATCCTATATTTAAGGCAATTGTTTCTTTTTTTATTACGATTATATATTATTAATAAGAAATGACAAAACTAGACATATGTTTAATTGAAACAAAATAAAATCAAATTCGTTAGGATTTTCTTTTATACGAATTCCTTTCCATTCGAATTCTCAAAGCATACCAATTAAAAATAAAAAAATTAATTATTTCTAATTCCTTCGACGATAGAAGGTTGAAACATAGAAGGCAACCACATCTGAAAAAAAATAAAAATAATGAAATTTCCAATAGCATTAACTTTGAATTGCCACGGGGTATTCCACCTTTATCATCACCACCTCCACCGCCGCCGCTGCCACCACCTACCCTGTCACTGCCGCCGCCTCGACCACCGTTGGCGGTAGCGGTAATGGCGGGGTAGGTGGCGGCGGCGGCGGTGAAGGTGGTGGAGGTGGCGGCAATGCTAGGGTAGGTGGTGTAGGCGGTCCATTCCCTTTTTCTTTCATATTTTATATATTCGGTTATATGATTTAATGATTTTGCTTGTCTTTGAATTCATTTTTATGCACACACATACAAATAAACATGTTTTGAGAGTACAATATTTATTTGTAATTGGATTATTCAGTAAGTAATTATTTCACAGACATAAATTAATTGCAAAGTTGAGAAGGGGACGATTGTGCGTTAATTTTTTAACTGGTATGCTTTGAGAATTCCCTGGCTGAAGGGATAGGAACGTAGGGAATTGGAAATAATTATTTTTATTTTTATTTTTAATTGGTATGTTTTGAGAATTCGAATGGGAAGGAATTCGTATAAAATAAAATCCTAACCAATTTGATTTTAATTTGTTTCCACTAAACACATGTCTAGTTTTGTCATTTCCTATTAATAATATATAATGGTTAAAAAAAAAGAAAATACTGATTTTTTTTTTTTTTTCCTAGTTGGTACTCACACATACTTGTCTCTTCTGAGACTTGAATCCCTGACCTCCATTTGGGAGGTAAGAGGCTGATACTGCTAAGCCACTGGCCCATTGGTGAAACACTGATTAATTAATTACCATAGGATATTAGATTCTAAGGTTAGGATTAAAAGTGAGTATACTACTCTATGCTCATCAGGGAATAATTGAACGCTACTAATACACACACACACACACACACACATATATATATATAAATATATATATGATCCACGTTAAGAGGCTGATACTGCTAAGCCACTGGCCCATTGGTGAAACATTGATTAATTAATTACCATAGGATATTAGATTCTAAGATTATGATTAAAAGTGAGTATACTACTCTATGCCAGGAAACAATTGAACGCAACTGATATATATATATATATATATATGATCCACGTTTATGTGTGTATATAATACACACACACACGTTTATGTGTATTTCTTTCACTTATGTCTTTTCTAGCTACTAGAAGAGTTTTGAGAACTAGACTATATCAAATGGTCTATAATGTAATACGATATAGCTGAGGATATAATACAACCATGAAAGGTACGTAGTCAAAACCCTTCTTACATATAATTTGAAATGTGGGATTATAAATCATTTTTTTTTTTTGCCTCAAAACCCTTCTTCATTCCTCACCTTAATATAGTTTTTAAGTATTTCATTTGATTGAAGCTTCAATAAGTTGCGAGTTAGTTTTGTGTTTTGAATGATTTTCAGTCTTTTCACTCTATACTGAACCATGCCATGATTAATACAAATGAGGAAGCGTTGGACACCTGTTCTCCAATTCCATAGAATAAAAAGGAGTAGGAAACGCATTCGGCCTGAGTTCACATAAACCAGACAAAGGCCCACATGAAGAGTTATAACACTTAAGTTAATTTAGGGCTATGTCAATTTATTATAAAGGGCATTTATGATATTTGCCCTTTATATTTTATAATTTTATTAAAAAAAAGTTAGTTATATTTTCCTTCAAGTTGTTCACTTTTGAAACTACAATGACTAACGTGCTCACTTTTATATTTCAGGAGATATTATGCTCACTTGATAAAACTTTTAGGTTTATTTTTTTATTTATTTATTTATTTTTTTTTTGTATTTTTGACTATTTATTATACAATTAATTAGAACTAACAACGTCAAATTATCTAGTCCAACCTCTGGTTCAAGTGATTATTCCTTGATGTTTTATGAAATTTCAAATTTAAAATTTGACTTGCGCAAACAAAAATTTAAAGTAACGGGCTTTACAAACACAATCCCTTGTTAATTTTTTTAGGGTTAATTTCACTGACACCCCCTGAGATTTAGCCAAATATCAGTCTAAAACATCTTTCGAAAATAACTATCAGTTAGGTCCAATTTTGCTTTTCCGTTATTGCTTCCGTTAAAAACGTGTGAAAAGACATGTTTGTCCCTAATTTTTTAATCACATTTATAAAATTACAAATTATATATAATTATATATATATATATATATATATATATATATGAGCGGATCTGAACGACGATTAGGAGTAAAGAGTTGTTTTGACAAGGATCTGAACGGCGAACATGGAAAGGCAAGAGCAAGAACTATCGTGCCCGGCGAGACGCGAACTGAGCCGGTGAGCACGGACTGAACCAAGGAGACTGAACTTACAGTTTAGCAAGAACTGTTCCGGCAATCAGAAACTACGACGACAAATTTGGAGATGCAGAACTTGATTGATTATACAGATCGCCGGCGAAGGTGGGTGCACTGGTTCGGTAACCGAGACTGATTCGGCAGAGGGAAAAAAAACAGGGTAACCGACGAGTGTCCAACGCTCCATCAAACCAAAGACCGACGAGCTTCAAAACAGAGCTTCGTTTGGAATTTTTAATGTCTGTTTGCTTCGCTGCTATGTATATATCCATGAATAAACAGTTTGGATTGCAGACACACCCATCATATACATCACACATATATTTGCATACACAGAGGTATATATATATATATATATGGGTAAATATATATATGTACATGTATATATAACAGAGAACATGAGAGACAGTCGACGACCATCGCAACGTGGCGAGCTCAAAACGGCGGTGGCCCTCCATGATTTCGCAATGCTCCACAACAGCGTTCACAAGTCACCACCACCACCACAAAGGCGGCGTCGTAGAGCTCGAACCGTCATGCCCACCGTTCGCTGTGGGTCGAATCAAGATCGGGCTGTGGTCGTGGAACTGGGTTCGAGGAGCGTCGTGACCGGAATCGTTTCTGTCTCAGGTCGTTCGTGATAGCCGTTCGTTGTGGGTCGGATCAAGATCGTGATCCATGGTCATATCCTCGGGTGACGATTGAGAGGTTGGGTATGGGGTTGATGATAAGGGCGATTGAGGAGGAATTGAGAGTGATATGGTGTATCAAACTTCTGTCGTCACAGAAGACCTCTGTTGTTGGGTTTCTTTGTGGAGAGAGACAAAGAGAGTCCATAGCGAAAGGGGACTGTTGAGAAGAAAAGAAGTTTTTTTGTCAGATTTAATGGTGGAAATTGGAAAACCAAACATTCTATGTACACTATTTCATACTAACAACATGTATTACTGAAACGGTACTCGCATACCTGTAAAACAATATATTTCGATACTTAATACCACCAACTACATTCATATTCTTAATTTCATTTTCCGTCTAAACATTATTTTGCAGACAAAATTCCGACGAACTCCACTCTTGATCTGTCATTCAACAATTTCACCGGAGAGATTCCGGAATGACCTGTTTTCTTCCACGAAACGAAATCATTTTCCGGAAATTAACTCCGGCGAGCACTTCACCACCTAATCCTAACCCAACACCTATCAGAGGATTGGTTCCTCAACTTGTCACCGAAATCTGAAACTCTCCACCGCCAAAGTTCTCTGTTTTATTCACCGGAAGTTGCAGAGGTGCAGCAATCCAGTTCTTGCTTCATTGTCAACCAACATCAAGCTCTCTCACCGGCGACAAGCACGAGCTTAGGTCTGATCGGAATGAGCTTAGGTCGACAAGCACAAGCACAAGCACGAGTGGTTTTCTTCATATGCAAAACACAGGAATATGTTTCCATAGACCATCAAGGTTAGAGAAGAGTAAAACATGTGAGGGGTATAAAAGTCTAACATTATAAGGGTAAATATGTCATTTCAATCATAAAAGAATAATTAAATAGGTCAAACCAGAGTCAAAGGGTAAGAATGTCTTTTTACATGTAAAAAGTGGTCTGACACACCTGTCAACTAATTTTGGGGGTGTGAGTGAAAAACGGAGTAAACGTTTGTAATGTGAGTGATAGTTATTTTTGAAAGATATTTTAGACTAATATTTGGCCAAACTACTGAGGTGTCAGTGAAATTATCTCATTTTTTTACTCCCTATCACTGTTGGAGCAAAACCAAGACAATTTACTTTCTGACGTCATCGGTAGAAATTGAAGTATAGCTTTGTTAAATAATATATGTGATTTTTTACATCATAAGGCGGTGCCAAATTCCATACACGTGGCACGCTAAACGAATATTATATATATATTGTTTCTATCATGCAATGAAAATGAATTGATTTAAATAATCACATTAACCTTATATCGTCAGAACCATACGATGTGTATTAGAATTAAATATGAGAAATATCACTCCAAATTATACCACTTCTGCAGTTTGGTTACATCAAACATCAGTCCATTGGATTAGAAATATACATATCATGCAAGAAACACTAATTAAGTTAGGCCAAAAAAATAACAATTGATATAAAAGAGTGTTCGTGGATTTGAATGACATGGGTTTCAATTTCAAAGCTTGTTGTAAGCATCCAATATTTTGTACTTTAAGAAACCCCATAGATTGGGTTCCGACATTTGACTAATGGAGAACTTCATCTTGTGCACCAGTAACAACCAATTCATTTTTTAAGTGAATAGATTTATTGTTATTTATTTTTTTATATGTTTGGATATCGTGCAAACTCTCTTTTTATAATCCAAAAACTACTTAACGTGTAAATAAATAAATATATACCCACACCAAGATCTGATCTTACCTTTGGAGAAATTGTCTGCAAATAGTTCTAACAAAAGACTCTATATGAAAACAGGCTTTTTAAATTGTATTTTCGTAAAATTCAAAAAACTGTTAGACAAATAATTTTTAAAAAAATTCAATTACCAAATAAAAAGAAAATTATTTTCACAATTAAATTGAACCAATACGTCCTTAATTTTAGGTCATCCATGATCTAAGAGCTTGCATGATAAACCTGTACAATAGCAACCCCCAAACCCCAACGGTACGTAAAGTCAATGAGCTAGTTCACTTTCTTATTTTAACCTTTTTATTATAACTATTATGTCTTTTTTAGAAAATTATGATAACTATATGTTATGTCACCCATAAAATATGATTTTTAGTTTTCTTGGAAACCCTAACAAATGGAATGCTATGAATGGGCAAGTCACCAAATGACAAAAGACCAAAAGAAAATTAAACAAACAACATGCTTTGAAGGAATTGATGTGCTTTGTTTTGTTAATTGCTTGAGTTCACATGTCTGTTTAAGAACTGACGATTCTCATGACTTTCCACCACACAACAACTCATATAATATGACCCACAAATCATGCGTGAAACAGCTCAATTAGATTTGGTGCATGGCAACTCATATTATATACCCCCAATATATATATATATATTATATATATATATATATATATGAATTAGTAATCTCATCCTTGAATCAAGAAAATTTATTCCCACTTTCTATTATGATTTTTTTTTTTTTTTTAATACAAAATCACTCTCTTCCTATTTTTAATTTTCAAAATTAAAATACCACACATAAACACTCATATATACTTACGAAAATTTAGAAGATCTCAATATCCCCATACATATCTTCTTTTGACCAAAAAATTATCTTATATTTAGGACCAAGCTAGCATTAAATTTTTCGTGAGATAGCTACCTAAATTAATTGAAGTCAATAAGCGAAATATATTGTTACATTAAAAAAGTTGCTGTTAAAGAGTTGTAAACTTTACCAAATTTGATATTATTAATTTTATTTGTTGCCAGAGGACAATCCCTATGAACTTGCTGTAAGATCTATAATCAGATTGTGATTTGCTCCAATATTTAATGATTTTTTTATTTAGTTTACCTTTGTTAATAATTAAATTAGTTGCCTATAGTTTTTAAATTTTTATGGTTGAGAAATATTAAGATATTGTTAGCTATCACCATTGACCATGGAACTCCAAAAGTAAGACCCACATAGCCCAAAATCTTACCTTGATCAACGGTGAACCAATTGATCAAATTAGATGATGTCCCTCCAAACAAGTACCTTAGATTTCTATCCTAATTAATTGTAATTTTGTGTTGCTGCTAATCAAATTACTAAGGGATTTTTTATCCCACACTCGATACAGAGCGCGTGTGATAAATCATTTTCTGGAATGATACAACAAAAAAGTCAGAATATTGATTATGGAACGATACAAGGACGCGCTAAAGAGGCGCGTGTAATATATATATATATATATATATATATATATATATTTCTTCGTATTTTAATACTTATGACAATCACTTTCGAGTGCTATAGTCTCCAAAGTCCACAACTGAGATTAAAATAATAATAATAGAAGTTCTCAAAAAGAGCCAAAAGATGGGAAGAAAAGAGCATAAAATCTAAGTTTATATAGATGTATGATATGATATATATATATATATATATATATACACACACACTATATACAATCTGATACATCCAGCGATGCAATAATTACTAGGGTGCAAACAGCTTTAAAAGGGTGTTGGAGGAGATCTCTGATATCACAGAAACAACTGTGGCAGGCAGGCAGGAAAGTTTTGCAGAAGAGAAAGTAGTGATCTTGAGGAGGTTGAATTGTTAAGCAATTCTCCCTCTCTTCAATATTTCTCAATCATCACACAGAAAAAGAGATGGGTAGCAGTTATTTTGGGGAGCCAAACCTAGGAAATGAAAGATCGGGTTCAGGGTCATCAAGCAGCAGGAAAGGAAAGAAGAGTAATTCTGACAAGCCCAAACAACCACAGAGAGGGCTTGGTGTTGCTCAGTTAGAGAAGATCAGACTGCATAGTCAAATGGGTTGTAGTTACCTTCCTTCTCTTCACACTGCTACTCCTTATTCTCCAAATTTCAACCAGGTAGGTCTCTCTCTCTGACTTCGCTTTCTGTGGCTAAAACTATAAATTGTTGTGTGTGTAAGATTTTAATGGAGCAAGCTAATTTCAATATTTGTTGTTAATATATATTAATTCAAGCAGGAGGATATGAGTCGACTTCAAATTGCAGCCTATTCAGCAATACCATCATCATCATCCTCATCTTCTCTTGGTTTTCATGGCCATCAAAATATCATGGTATGTTGACTTAATTCCCTTTTCTTTTCTTTTTTAGTACAGTAGATACTCCATTGAAATCTCATGGTTTCCTTTCATTTTAAGTCATTGATGGCCATGCACCACTCAAACTTCAACAATTCTTCCCACAGATGCACTGTGTGTGTGAGAGAGGAGGATCACATATTACATAACATCAAAACAAATTCTATTTTGATTAATTTGAAGAGATTTAATTTCCTTTAAGATATGGAAATCTATTAAATTAGACCCTTTCCATTTTCTTGGAGGTGTCTGCAAACGTGATGATTGGCAAAAACTTAGATTCTTGCTCCTTTGAAGATCATCATCATCAAGAAAATTACAAATTAAGGGGCAGTAACAATATTGTTAGAAGATGGATATTTGAACTGAATTTTCTTACTAATTTTTTTTGTTTTTAATTAACCATAAAGTTTTTCTATAAATCTATGCAAAGATTAAATCTGTCTCAATTAACTGGCTTGAATTACAGATGGGATTGGGTGAATTAGAAAGATCAGCAAATATCAGATATGGAGATTCTCAACCTATCACTACTGCAAGGTACTTGCATATCCTACTTTATGCTTTGTATTAAGCAAGGCCTCTTTATGGAAAACAAGTTACATATATCCTGTTTAATTGACATTTTCTCAATATTGTTTTAGGGCATGCTAGCTAGCTAGCTAGCTAGATTTCTATTTCTTCCGGGAAGAATTAATGCTGCCTCCTTATAGCGTTGTGTTAATTTGTTGGCATGAGCTATATATATATATATATATCTATTTACCTTAACAAAAAAAAAAAAAAATTCAAAAACAATATCTAAATCAATTCATATGTTCAATTCATAAAACCAGATGGAACCCTGGTAATGGCATACTAGAGAGTCAACATTTTGCACAGCCAAGCATGACTACTACACATCTTCTGAACCTACAAGCCGAGGTATATATAACCATATTCTTAATGCAGTACTTCTACAATATTGATATTATGAATGATTCGAATTAATGAAGATATATAACAAGTAGATTCTAATCTGATAATGACCAACTTTTCCTCAAAAATTCATCTTAATTATAGGACTCATTACAAAAGAAGAGAAAGAAAGACCGAAGTAATTCGTTTGGCTCAAGCAGTCAGAACTCGGAATCAAATGATAATCAAGAACTGGATTTGGAGCTCAGACTTTCACTTTAGTCTGCAAAGTTTCTGCAATTCAATGTGTATGGATTCGATTGTTTTATCATCTTACTTTTAATTTAAAAGTTCAAAATTAGGAAGAAGTGGATCGATTTGCAAAGCTGCACAAGTTGAGCAAGATGATACACTTGTGGTTAAAGTTTCATTTTGAAGGACTCCTGTAATGGAAGTTAGATATATAAATCGAATTTCTGCATAAAATTAAAGAGAAGTTAATTTTGTTGTGGCATTTTTATGAAGTACTATACAAGAAGTGAACATTATTGTTCTTTTCAGTTTTTTACATTTCCATTATGGTCTAGCATACAGCATGTACCAATAGCAAAGCTTTTCATGAACACAAACTTTAGTTGATTCATGAGTTGGAATGTTAATTTCTATTCTCTTACTCCTATTGTTCAATGGTATTAATTTTATAGATCACAATAAATTAAAATAGGGAATGAGGGACAATATAACTGATCCAACTCCCTCATCAATATATATATATATATATATATATATATATATAGATTTTTTTTTTTTTAAATAATATAGGGCTATGTGTGTGTGTATATATATATATATAGTTACCATTTAGCAACTAACAAAATCTAAACAATAAAAACTTAATAACAGTAAATTATTGGATCTATTTAATTTTTTCACATTCTCTTCTTCACTAAGACACCGAAGTGTGACACAATCTTCTTCAGGAACATAATTTGTTTTATTTCATGGAGTTGGAATGTTTCTATATATTCTCTTCTATTGTTTAACGTGAGTATGATCAACTTTATTAACTGAAAATGATTAAAGAGAGAGCAAGAATAGACAAGGACAAGAAAACCAATGACTTAAACCTGTTTTTATGTGGAGATTAACGCTTTATTACTCCAGGTAAAAGTGAGGAACAATCTGGACATCACCGAATCATTTGTATGTATATCTTGATGCATGAACTGTGTGGTTTTATAAGGAAAATGTTTATGGTCAGACAATTAATTAGATAACTTCTGTTTCGAGTCTAAATATCATATATACATATGTGTGTGTGTGTGTGTGTGTGTGTTGAGTTCAACAAGACAAATGGCATAACCATGAAAAGGAGACATGAGATGAAGAATGAGAATTACCATGAAGACCACTGGGTGGCAAACTCACTTCAATCAGATGAGCACAGGGGTACAAATACAATATGAAGTGCCCTATAGGTTCTTATGAACTCTTATAAAATTTTAACTGTGATTTAGTTCAATACAAGCTCACTTGTTTCAATCACAAGTTCACAACTTGAATTTTCCAACTTTAATTGTGAAAAAGACAGTTTGGTTTACATATTACGGAGTATTTTATTTTTTATTTTTAAAAAAGTGACACTTAAATTATGACCTTAGCTGACTATTCAATTACAATTATTCCAAGAATAAGTAGAATTCCAGCAGAGAAACTAGATCGTAACAGATTAAGGGAGTCCTCAATCTTTTTTATAACATATATTTTCACGAGGTTTTTTTTAAATCTGAACAAGGAAACAAGGAGAACAAAGAAGTCCAAAACAGAGCAAACCCAGAAAGAAACAAACACCTCACCCAGGAAGAGGATGAATGTCCTTGTCGATTTCACATCAGTCGGTAATCAATAAAGATTTTCAAGTTTATCATTTTGCTTTTATGTAGGAATGTACATGTCAATTTATTCATAAAGTATGTGATGATGAAGCTGATGTCGGTGGTGCATGTATCATGACATGTTTAGATGACGATGTTGTTATTTATCAATCACATGTTAGTATTCATGACACCAAACATGTGGTATAAACTGTGTTGTGCCAGGGTTCTGGAGATGCATTTCACAATAATTAAATCCTCCTCTGACAATTAATGACGAACACAATCTTCATTTACCATTACAACTCAAGTGAAAATGCTCAACAAAGCCATAAACATTAGCTTTTTGTCACGAAGTGATTCCTAAGACGCTTATAGGATGGAAGACACGCATGCTGGTTAGCAAAGAGCAGAGTTTGACTGGGAATGGTTCCAGGGAAGGGGCGTGCAGGGGCACAGGATGGTACCTCTTTAGAATTCAGGCAGGTCGACTCGGTTGAGTGCGAGGAGCTTGTCGTTGGTCGTGGACTTGACTATGAAGAAGGGAGTTGGCCATCCCGGTACAAACTGGTCGGGAGCTGGAGCCGTTTCCCTTATGAGATCAAGGCAGGTCGAAACCAGTCAACATGTGTCCTTGGGAGGGCAGGTCGTGGTGGCTGACCAGGGCGTTTGCGCGAGCTGAAGCAACGCCTTGGTGCCGCACGGGCCGTGCCGCTGCGCCAAATCTCTAGACCCGTGACAAATGGTATCAGAGCAGGATTTGGGGTAAAGCACGGTGGGGTGCCCCCTTGTCGGTCCGAGAGGGGTCAGAGAAAGGAGACGGTGCATTGAAGTTGCGTCGATGAGTAGGAATCAATGCAGTTTGGGGGAGAGCCTCCATCTCCCCAGGAAGAGGCGTTCGTTAAAGTTGCGCACTGGAGGGCTGGAGGGCCCCACGCACCAAAGTTCGTGAGAGCTCCTTGGGTGATGCAAAACTTGGTGAAGGGCGAGCATCAAGTCGGCAGGAGACCCTTGCTTGCTCGGGTTGTCGCGGAAGCGGCATGACGGATAAGAGTCACGTCCTTGAGGAGTGGACGTCCCCTTGGTTTGAGGCCTATCATTGGGCAAGTATAGTGTAGGGAGTTGCACAAGAAAGCGATGGTGGGAAGGCGAGCATACTGCTTGGAGGCAGACTTTGGAAGGGAGTGGACGCAGTAGTGAAGCGCCGCACTGCGACGAGGACGTCGCAGGATTTGGGTGGGGGAGAGTGTCACAAAGTGATTCCTAAGACGCTTGGAGGATGGAAGACACGCATGCTGGTTGGCAAAGAGCAGAGTTTGACTGGGAATGGTTCCAGGGAAGGGGCGTGCAGGAGTACAGGATGGTACCTCTTCAGAGTTCAGGCAGGTCGACTCGGTTGAGTGCGAGGAGCTTGTCGCTGGTCGTGGACTTGACTATGAAGAAGGGAGTTGGCCATCCTTGCACAAACTGGTCGGGAGCTGGAGTCGTTCCCCTGATGAGACCAAGGCAGATCGAAACCAGTCAGCATGTATCCTTGGGAGGGCAGGTCGTGGTAGTTGATCAAGGCGCTTGCGCGAGCTGAAGCAACGCCTTGGTGCCGCACGGGCCGTGTCGTTGCGCCAAATCTCTAGGCCCGTGACATTTTACTCTATTTTAAGGCCTTAATCCCAAAATAATCATTGTATTTTTACCATTTTACTATATTGTTGGAGGAATGATACTGACATATTTACCAGGAAAAAAAAAATGGAAAATTTAACTTATCATGCATAGATTCTAATCAGTAGTCATGAATAAATTGCTTGCTTATACTTATATTGTTTATGCAATGATTTAGGTAGCATTTTACTTGGGGAAAATTTAACTTATGACAAGTGTTTTTTTTTTTTTTTTTTTGTTGACAAGTTTGGAAGTTATATTATAGAATTGAAAATATTAAAAAAGATTTCGTATACAAGGTCACTAAAACAACGGTAATTATTTAACCACCATCAAACTCGTAATAAACAATTGTCCTATCTTAAAATTAGGTTATAAAATTTGTAAAAAGTTAAATCCATTGTTGGACTTAAGTTCTAAACACCAGGGAAAAAGTAAATTTTTTTTTTTAATATTTCCGGATCAATAATTCTAATCAATTATCATTAGATACACCAATAAAAAATAAATAAAACTTACACATTTTATTTTTACACAATTATTTACATGTGGAATGATGATTCATCTAGACCGGTCCGTATGCATTAGATGTTCAGCTAGTGCTTAGCATTTCACTTGCCATCAGATGTCTTTTCCTACTTTAGCTGCATTTTGCTACAGTAGATTTTAAATCCATTAATTATACAGTAATATATATGAATTGACCTCAATACCTACATTATAAGGCGACTGATGGCAAAACAGCTGTAATGACGTCAATCAATGATGTGTCAGTCTATAGTCTAGACAAAGAATCACGAGTCTCTCCTATAGGCATTTGGGTCCAATACCCCTCCGTTCACCTCACAACATTAACTCGAGAAAATAACAGGCACTACTCCAAATGGGTAGCTCGAATATACTACAATTGCTGACTAGAGGCAAAGATACTGACATGAGGATTAATTATGAAAGCAAAAATACAAACACAACAAAAAAGAAAAAAAAAAAAAAAAAAAAAAGAGTAATAATAATCTATTATATATAAGCAAATAAATTGATTTTTAGTCGTTTTATGTAATCACTAATTTGAATAGGTTTTGTGTGAATTGAAAATCTTCGTCTACCATATCCCAATATAGGATGATCGAGTTTGGACTTGCATGGCAATAAAATAGTGATTAAAAGAAACGCGGTTCCAAATATTATGCTTGGTTACCCTGCTTTTTGGGAGCTTAGATGGCGAGAAAAATTGAGGATGAAAACAGAGCAGACTGATTCAAACTGCTGGATTGGATCAAATTAAGGATGTAATTATTCAGGTCAGGTAGAATTACTTTGGCATGAATTGCGGAGAACATGTATATATGTTATTTTCTATATCTAGGCTTTGTTGCAAGTACGTAGTGTATAAAGAAGACATAAAGAGAAGCAGGGAGAGAGAGAGAGAGAGTGCTTCTTGCAAGAGCTTCCAAGGAATAAGCTTCATGGCGGTCTTGCACAGAGCCCTCTTTCTTGTTCTCTTTGTTATTCCTCTCTTATTTCATCATGGCTCAGCACACAGACCTGAACCTCATACAGGAGACAAGAATAAAAAAACTGTAGCAAATCACAAGACCACTACTGCGAAGCCCAATGATAAACAAGAAGAAGTGGTAAACCAGGAGGATAATTCTATGGTGGTGATTCAGAACAACCAAGGGGCGACCGATAAACCGAGAACTGTGGTGGTTGTACCTGCGAGGGAAGCTAAACCCGCTGACTACCAACCAACTCAAGAGGATCCAGACCCAACTAGGCCATATGCTGGTTTGGCCTCGGACTCAAAATACAACAAATTTAGGGCAGTTATAACCAATAGACCACCACCCACAGCAGGGTAGGAGGCAGCTTATGAGAGATCTTATAATCAACAATGTAACACAGAGATCATGGAAAAGGACATCGAGACAAGGTTCAAAGGTGATTGGAAGCTACATTGTGAGGATGCCTTTGTCTCCGCCATGCAACTCCAATTGCTTCCAAACAACAAGGCTATTATGTCCGACACCAGTTCCTTCGGCCCATCCAAAATCGAGTTGCCTAAACCTCATCCTGCCAATTGTCGTGAAGTCATCCAGAAGCGCGTCGGCAAAAAACATCACGACGCAAATTCAACCGACTGTTGGGCTCATGCTATAGAATATGACATTGACACCGCAAAAGTTAGGCCGCTAAAGGTATACTATATCTTTAATGGAAAAATATATGCATACATATATATATATATACACACACACACACTAGTAGTATTATATACTGTATATGTTACTAGTAATTACTAATCACTTTCATTCTTTAATTTATATTGTATATACTTATTGACATGTTAGTTCGTGAGCTACATACGTAATTAATTTCTAGATTTACAGGTTTTAACGAACCAATGGTGCTCTTCTGGAGGCCTTTCGCCTAAGGGTACCTTAGTAAGCACCGGCGGTTGGGAAGAAGGTTATAAATCAGTTAGACACATGGGTCAATGCCCTGACTGCGATTTTGAGGAAAAACCAGCTGCCCTTGCCAGCAATAGATGGTATATATCATTATATATACTTGACCATTGACCATCATCACCATATATAAATTTAATTATATATATAGTGTAAAAAATTAAATACTATAAGTAGTTGCTTATATTTATATTTAAATTTGTGTGCAGGTATGCTAGTCAGGTAACGTTGGAAGATGGTAACTTTGTCATTGTTGGTGGTCGCAGAAGTTTCAGCTATGAATTTGTGCCATCCATGGAAATGAATTTCAAACCTAAACAATTCGACCTTCCATTACTCAAGGAAACCAAAGATAGTACTAAAGAATCAGAGAACAATCTGTACCCATTTGTGCACCTAGTTCCCGATGGCAACCTCTTCATCTTCGCAAATTCCCGTTCCATCCTTCTCCAGCCTGGTGGTAAAGTCATTCACGAGTACCCGGAATTGCCCGGTGGTTCTCGGAACTACCCTGGATCAGGAATGTCAGCTCTCCTCCCTCTAGACCTCCGCAACGGCCCTGAAATTCATGCTGAGGTCTTGGTCTGTGGTGGTGGAGATCCCCAGGCATATCCAAAGGCAAACAATGAGAAAATCTTCTTGCCTGCATTGCAAGACTGTGGACGCATTACCATCACCAAACCGGGCGCAAAATGGGAGATAGACATGATGCCTTCACCCCGAATCATGGGTGACATGATCATTCTACCAAACACAGAACTTCTGCTCCTCAACGGTGCCAAGAAAGGCGCCGCCGGTTGGCAAAATGCCGACGAGCCCAATCTGGTGCCAGTCTTATATTCTCCAAAGAAAAAGCTAGGAGAAAGGTTCACCGAACTAGAACCTACCTGCATTGCTCGAATGTACCATTCGTCGTCGGCACTTCTTCTGGACGGAAAGGTTTTGGTTGCAGGCAGTAATACAAACCCTACTTACAACTTCACGGAATCGGTCAGATTTAAGACCGAAACCAGTGTAGAGAAGTTCTGGCCTCCGTACTTGGAATCTAAGCTCCGCCAGTACAGACCCCGAGTGCACGAGGGTGGTACCGAGAAGATGTTGAAGTACGGAAAAGAATTTAGGATTAAAGTTAAGCTGGCCAAGGAGATTGGAGTGAGCAAGACGAACGTAAAGGTGACTATGTATGCACAGCCGTTCACCACCCATGGGTACTCAATGAGCCAAAGAATGGTTGTTCTGAAAATAGTGGACATAACTGATGATAGCGTCATTGCTGTGGCACCTCCGTCAGGCAAAATTACTCCTAGGGGGTATTATATGCTCTGGGTTGTTCATCGTGGCCTGCCCAGTAACGGAATCTGGGTACAGATTGGTGCCTAGACATGAAATGATTGTTGTCTTTGCCTGAGCTATGATGGAATAAAATTCTTTTTTTCCAATTTTTAATTGGATTTTTATAATACTATTAATAACTTAATATCACATCTAATAAATATTAAAATCTGCCATTTGAAAAAAGTTCAAATTTTCAATAAATATATCATTTCTTATACTAGTATCAGTTTTGCTTGAATTACTATTGCAATGCCGAATTAGATTATCCTACTTTAATAAAGGTTATTCTTAAGATGTTTTTTTTTTTTAAAAAAAATTATTTTACACCAAAGTACATACAAAAACATATTTTTACTGCCACACCCTTTATCCAAGGGAGATTAGCAAAAGTGATGAGAGAAACAATCCAATCCACTAATATGCATGATCCGGATAGTATGCGCTCAAAAATTTATTTAAAATAAAATAAACCTTTGAAATTAGACTCACAATGCTACAAATATCTGAAAATTCTCATAAATTTTCGGGTCTAAATATAGTTACAACACTAAATATAACATGTCTATAAATAGTTATATGCCAAAACAAAAAAATAAATATAACGGGTCTAGTGTCCCCACAAAAGTAATAAAAATCCATCGATGGGCACAAAAATAATTCCTGCAACAAGCATTTCAACCACAAAATGAATCATCCATGCAACACTTGACAAGAAATCGATGTCCTTTCTGCCATTATCAATCTGCTCCCTTTGCTCAAACCACAATAAAAGCCACTCTCACCTATTCTTTGATTGTAAATATGCGAAACCAACCTGGCAATACATCCAAGCAAACACTACAAGAAAAGAGGCTTTTGGGATGAATTATTTGGGACGGTTTAAAAATTGTCTCAAATGAGCTTGGTTTTTGGGACTATAACATATCTACCGTCCCAAATGAAAAAAAAAAAAAAAAATGACCGGGAATATTTTTGGTGAAAAAATGAGGGGCTTGGGACAAATTATTTGGGACGGCTTAAAAATTGTCTCAAATGATCCTTGTTTTTGGGACGACAACATGTTTACATGTTTATTGTCCCAAGTGATCTAAAAAATAATCGGGAATATTTTTGGTGGGAAAATTTGGCTGCATTATATATTTGGAAAATTTTGACGCTTGATTTTCCTCCCTCCCTAATTCAAAATTTTCACGTGCAAAATATTAAAAAAATTTCATACTACACCATTTTGGGTATTGTAAAGTTGTAAACCCACTCTCTCTCTCTTCTCATTCTTATCTCTCTCACTATACAACTTAACCTAACAACACATATATATCATCTATCTACTCTCTGTACAGCTGACACTGCACCAGTTGTAACTATCTCACGCCAGCCAGTTCGGCTTGTCATTCTCATCTCTCTTACTCATATACTCTCTCTGTTCAGCCGAAGGCGCCGCACCAGTTGCAGTTACTTCATGCCGGTTCGGCTTGCCACACTTTTCTTAGCATGAAGTGATACACGTACGAAAAACCAGGGCTAAGAAGGAAATCATTTGTAGAAGCATAGTGAGGAGGATCGATTGAATTTGGAAGGTCTACTTTTTTGCTACTTCTAATCTCTCTCATGTCAATCGGAGCTCACTCTCTCTCTCCCTCGATCGGTGATTGAAATCGACAACTATTTGTAAATTTTCGCAATCAATCTTACGGTTATTGTGTGCGTAATTTCTTCAATGGCCTCCACACTTTCGATAAATTTTCCCCAATTTTCAGAGGCATGCATATATATATAAATATATTAGGTATGTGTTTTAGTACCTTGTTTATTTTTATTTTTTTTTCTTTTTCAATTTTTATACAAACAATAGCAATTGAATCCATATACATAGGTGGGCTATGTTAAACATTCCGAAACTGAAATTTGAAATCAATATGTTGAAATATTAATGACCTCAAATGAAGAAAAGACAAAAAATTGGAATCCATGTTGAGAAATTGAAAAAAAAACTTATATATTGGAATTGTTCAGTGGGTATCAAGTTGATTTTATGATTGTCTTTTGATTCGGAGGTATTCAATCCCTTGAAAAGCATGAGTGTAATTTTTTTTCATGTATTCGTGCAGACAGATTCTTAAATGAACTTTTGAAAGAGATGGCATGGAAGTTTTAAGTTCAATAAATTTATGGAAAAAAAAGCTCCCCAGCATTCTCTCCCGCGCTCTTTCAATATACTAAACACAACCATTGTATCTCCACCGTTAGATGGCTATGTGCATAATGATTGTTCTGGTTGCATATTTTATATGTATATTGGTGATATCTTGTCCAAGTAATGATGCATTCCATAAATCAATTAGTCGTTATGTTCTGATTTGGTTGTTTCTCTATGCATAGAAGCCCATTGTTCCTACTGATTTGTACAGAGCAGTGCGAGATTCACAACTCGTAGGACTGTCAGATTACACAAGAGAGGTGTTTATCCTTGATACAGATTAATCTCATTTCCAGCATTTATGTTTCTTGTCTGTACATCTTGGTACGTTTGATGTAGTTAAATTTGTTTATAAAAATGAAACTGATGGAACTGTGTTGTTCTCTCATGTATTCTTACTAACATGTAGTGACTATCTTTTCTGATAGGGCCTTCCAGTCATTGCTATTCGTGTAAGATTCAGCACGTTTGACAAAGCTTCTGTAAGGATTATTGTTTTCCCCTCAAATTCCCTTTGACATTCATAATTATGCAATGTATACATGTATATTCTTAGAGACTTGTTTTACTCTCTCTTTCTTGTAAACCAAACTCATCTGGTTCCATAGTTATTGTTTCAGTGTTTTCAATGAGGTCTCTCTCTCTCTTTTCTTTTTTCTTTTATTTATGTATTTAATTTTTGTTTATATTCAACTTGCATCAATTATATTATATCCATAATTGAATTTATTTTTTTACCAGTTACATAGATAAGGCTTGGATTCATCATCACACCAGGGGTAGTAAAGAGTATCATAAATGTCTGTGTCGTCGCTGCAAAAACGGTGACTATGTTACAATTAAGGAGGTTAAGACTCATCTATATAAGTGTGGGATGTACAAAGAGTATACTAATTGGATATGGTATGGGGAGGCTAATGTAATAATTCTACAAAGTAATCAAGAATCTCATCATGAAATTGACTATTTTGACAATGATGATGAAATCTTGATTGAAGACAGTTTAGACGATGAAGAAGAAGATGATAGTGATTTGGATTAAATGTGAATTTTATTTTTTATTTTTTTTATTGAACACATGCAAATTGAAATGTTGAAGTTGTTTAAATTTGTCTTCAGTACTTAGCTTTGACTTTTAGAATATGTGCTTTATTTTTTTGAGTTATTATTAATCTCTTTTGCAGTCACGTGATTTAATTTTTTTCGTTCTTTTAATTATCTATTGTTTGGCTATTTTGATACTTTCCTTTGCTACTTAATTTTTCTTTTCTAATCTATTTGTTTCCTAACATGTTATAAAAATTTGATTCTCTTATTGCTGTAATCTACTATGGCGTCCAATCGTCGGTCCTTGAGATCCAACAATGACCTTGCCCAAAACATTTATACATCTTCCCAGCCACAACCAGCAGTAGAAGGTGATTATTTATGATCTTTACATTTGTTAAACTTGTCCTTACATTTGAACTTGGTCCCAAAATACTCCTACGTGTTACCCTCATGAATTTCATTTTTCAGGTCCTTCAAGAAATGTCAAGAGGCGTGGCAAAGCTAAAAAAAAAAGCGCAATAGGGGGATTATTCCGATTAAGTTTATAGACGGTTATTTGAAACTGGTGGAGGAAAATTCAGATGTTTGGGAGAGTGAGCTTGGGATGATTGCTCGTGAACATATACCATTATGCTATGAGACTTGGCCAGATGTCCCAGACTATCATAAAAAGTTCTGTTACACTAAAATAATGGTCTATCTTGCTTAACCCATATCTTAATTCCTTTTTGCTACTATAACGTATAATTTTTTTTGTAAATTTTTAGTTTATACTATTTTTAAAATTTGTTTTTCAAAGTCAATTAGCAGGATTAAGTGTTGTTCATTCCTTGGCTTTGTATTTTAGCCAGGAGATTTTCATTATAATCTGCTTTTTGTTGGGTGTTTGAAAAAGGAATCTTTTATTATTATTTACTGATGTAATAGGATGAAAGTTCTATTTATTTTGCTTTTTATTGGGAAATAATTTGCTTACAAAGATGGGTAGCTGACCATATATTCATGAATTTTGCTGCTAATTATACTTTTTCTAAATGACATTTGTTGTTGGCTTATTCATGTGAAAAATAAAGGGGGAATTCGGAATTGACTGTAATATTGATGAAAAAGCAAAAGAGGGTGCAGATCTCTCATTGGCCACTGCGCATAGAAAGTTTAGGAACTGTTTGAAAGATCATTTTAACAAGTACGAGACGGAAGAGAGTGCACGCCGTAACCTACACCCTCATGTACTCTACGAGGACTGGCAAATCATATGCGATAGGTGGATGATAGACAAATTTCAAGTTAATATAAACTACCTAGTTATATGTTTTTTAATTAATGTTTCTTTCTTTTCCTCATTTATTTATTTTTTAAATTACATTGTAGGAAATTAGTGCTAGAAACAAAGAAAACAGAGGAAAGGTAGAGATTGTTACATTCTGCTTGGTTAAAGTCTTTTGCCAAAATTCATTATGAGTTGGTAATATATAACACAATACTTTGTTTTTTTTTTTTTTTTTATGTATTTTGTTCTCATTCTACAACCATACCTTGTAATGTTTTAAAAAAATAAAAAAAATTACAGAAAGAAGCTAATGAAGACGATGAACATCATCTAGAAGGACCTGCCATCAAAATGTATAAGAAAACATATTACAAGGAAGATGGTGGATGGATTCATGATGATACTCGTAAAACATATGTAAGTTATGATTTTTTTACCCCATAGAAATAATTGTCGGGTTTTAAGAAGACTTTAATGTACATTTTTCAAAAGCAAATAAGACAACTTTAACGAAAGCTGGTAGACTGGTACAAAAATTAAAAATTTGAAGCCAAAATTCAATGGAGGTACATGATTTAAACTGTGTCAGTGGAA